CAGCCCTAAATCAGTAGTCACAGTGGGGCAACAGGGTCTTTACAGGTGCGTGCGTCTAGATGCCGATCCTGTGAGTAAAACCTGCATGTCGGCTGTTGTGACTCGTGATTCTCCACTTTCATCTCATAGAACGGCTATGTTCTAGTACTATTCCTTATTTGGTCTAGCCTCGGCGGGGTAGGTGCCGATCCTCATGATAACTCGCGGTAGTCGGACAATCCTTTGTTCCCGTGCAGTAGCGTAGACGCATCCATTGGCTGTGACGTGCTGATTTGACAGCCTTTTGATGTGGAGCAAGCTGAGATTTTTCTCGTTGAGTTTGTATAGGAGAATTTGGAGTGGTGTAAAAGTAAAAGGGATTTCTTGCTACTTCACAGTGTGACGGAGGCCTTTCACAGATGGTCTCAGCCAGGATAACCGGGTGATGCACGTGCCCCACAGCAGGTACGGGCTTTTCAGCCCTTACTTTTTGGCATGGAGCTCTTTAGTGTGGCATCCCGTTCGGCGTGGAGCAGGTTGGAAGCGCAAGCCTAAATGTAAAACCCTCAATGTAGACCAGCCCCAATCCTAACGTAGGGAGTGCCTAAATGTCGCAGCTCCACACATCTAATGAGATGAGGCGTCAATTATACCTGAATTCTATCACCGGTGATAATGCCAAGGTCCCCAGGTGTTGAGATGCCACACAACTACGGAGTAGGCATTCCCGATGTGAGAAAAATCGCTAGGTGTCTTCCAGGAAGATTGGTAAACCAGTACTATTGTAATCCAAAAAGAAATATTCCATGTTGGTCCAGCTTGTTAATGCTTTGAATAGTCTACGAGATTGAAAAATGACTGCGATAACGGTGTGACGTCATCTCTTTGTCGAGCTGCATCGTTAGTCGAACTAACAAGCCTAGAACAACGATAGTAATTTTTACACTACAGGCCCCTATGCAGGGGAGCTCCGTGGCCTGCCCGGCGCGGAAAGGTGGCAAGCCACTGTGGCGGTGGTGTGCCACACGGAACACGTTTCCCGATTCACGGATTTCCGTAATCAAGGGGTGATGTCGAGAAACTGAGAACTTGATTGAGGAAGTAGGATAGTTGGTAGCGGCCGCTGCAGAACAAAGGAGACTAATAAATCGGCTTTGAGCGTTCTCGAAACAAGAACAAGGAACAGAAACGGGGTTGACACTGTACACAAAGCCGTAGAATAGAACCCGATACAGTAATAACACCGGCGCAAAGATCATTTCTCTTAGTCTAGAATAATTGCAGTGTGCAAGATTCTAGATACTTACATCTCTGCTTTCTGCTCTCCAGCAGACAGACGCAGACGACCCCTCCGGAAACTGAAAGAAAACAACGCCAGAACCTCGTGGACCCGTGGAGAAGTCTCAAGCCACGCTTGCCCCTGCGTTGGTGTGGGTCACATGCGCTTACGCCACTCGCGGGGCCGGCCGATGGGCGATCGACAGGGTCTGACTTATCACCAATCCTTTTTGACAGGGTGACTCATGAATGTGCCAAAGCATCGAATGTTCTAGCAGAATACTCTGGCGTAAAGAGGCACGGTAATAGTCCTCATCGTGGGAATGGTATGAATTTCATCAGTTAAATGCTCGCGATGATACTTTCACTGCAGTATCGGCTACCTTCATTACCTTGATGAAATTAAGGTCCTGTGTGATAAATCCTCGTATCCTATGGAGAATTCATTGCGTAATTTGACGGCTTTGATTTGTGAAAGAATTATCTACGGGTAAAATTGCATATCTAGCCTGTTCTTGGGGGCCTCGCTATTGTGATGATAATACTCAGGTACTCCATTTAACTTTGAGGCCCTCAAGAAGCCATGTTAATAGTTCTTATCGTAGTGGATAGTTATGAAACCCCCAAAATTTCAACGATTAAATGCACGATGCTACTTTTCATTGTGGTGGATTTCACCGCAGCAGTGGGGCACCTTGATGAATTATTTGCCCAGTGTGATGAATTTATGAGTAGAAATTATCTATAGGTAAAATTGCATATCAAACCTTGGGGGAAAAGATATTCGCCATTACCATCGTTTCAACATTGATTCTCACTGGGCGATTCCTAGGACTTGGCATATCGTTCTTAAGAATATTCAGCCCTGTCCTGTGAATGCAGTCTCCATTCTAAAGAACGTCGTCTGAGTTGCTATTTACTGGATTTCACCTCCTTGGGAATTTTAAATGACCTAACCTGCGTTTATGGGGTTTGAATTGTATCTGTACTATCTGTATACTCACCCAGTACGTACTCATCTTCGAACATGGGGAGTAATATTAAAGGAGAAGTTCATCATGATGAAATACATCAAACACATCAATCGCATGTCACTCAAGACGCACTGCAAAGGAAACAGAAAAGACAGCAACGAAACCGTCGCGGCAATACTCTTTTCAAAAAGCATACGAACTAAGCATGCTCACTGATGCTGACGTTTTTCTTGGCATCCGCTTCCAAGTCGGTCGAATCAAGACCTTCTGTGCGGACAAATCGAGCTTTTGGCTGTCAAAAATGTCGCATCTGGTACAATACTACTCCATTTGCAGCCTAGTTTCAGAGTTAACCGAGAAGTAGGATTCGTACTATCCCATCCCTGAACGGAAGACACCTAGCGATTTTGTCTCAAAACGTGGTACAGAACGCAGCAACCAATCAAGGAACAGGGAAGAAAGTTAGGATGGATAATGGAAGCTGGTTAGTAAAACGGGGTACCATCGCATCTGTCCTAGTCCAATCATATCTTGTGGTAGAGTGGGTGCTACGTTCAGTCTATAGCCGGGGCCGAATAAAGCCAGTATCGGCTCGTTTCTTAAAGGAATAAGTTACAAAGACTGAACGATGACGTCGCCAATCTGTTCCAACGGCGGGTCCCGTGGCTGGGACTAATGCAAAGTAGTACCTGTCGATCTGTTTGGGTTGAACCAGGCACATGACGGCCCTCTCGAAATGTAGGTTCATTCTAAATGTAGGTCCTCAGTGAGGGCCTATCTTCCGGAAAATCTACATTGTGAGAGAGCTTACAGTTAAAAAGAATCTATATTTTGAGAGGGCCTACTCTTCTTTCAGGTTCTCCGGGCGGAGTAACTCAGCATCCATAATCAACATTTCACCCATCAACAAATATGTCAGTCCTTTCTTCTAAACAGAAAACAATCATCTACGTGATAGTAGTAGTACTCTTTACCCTGTTAAAGCTGGCTAAGTTACAGGCTGCTAGGCAGGGGGAGCGCCGTGGCTTGCGCGTTGCGTTGTGCGTCACATTAATACAAGCAGCCACAAAAGAAATCTGAGTGCCAAGGCTATGCAAAATGTGCAAACAAAATATATTCACCCTAGATCATTTGCTTCCCCGCACCGCGCCGAACCAGCCCCTTTGGACTGTCTAGTATTATGATGGCCAGCTTAATAGTATCATGACAAATCTTAACATTTAATATCGTACAGTGGTTTGCAGGTTCAGCGTAACAACTTAAACTCTCTTCTCTTTGCTCTGAAACAATGCCAAGACTTCCCTAGTATATATACGGCTAGATCCGGAACAACTCTGGATAGCGTGTGTTTCTCTCTTAGGTATTGTGAATTCACAGAATTAACGCGCCCGTAAATTACGTGTACTGTATCGCTATTTTGGCCCAGGTACATGTACATCCTTTCAATACGATGCCCCCCACACACATACATATAACGTATTCCACAAGTAATTTTTATTAGTTTAATTCTATTTTATTAACATGTAAGCACATAATTATTAAAGATGTTAAATATAATGTACTCAAATTTGATCTATGATTTACATATAATTTCGTTGAGATATTAAGAAGCTAAAAGTGGCCATTTTATATGGATTACACGGGTGCGCGGCTTACTTGTGCAATACGTTAGTGTCGGAAACTTCGGTTTTATTACCGTCGAGTATAGCTAGGATAGCTATTAAATGGTGAAGTTAATAGGCTTCTAAGGTCGAAAGGTCACGATAGACGAAAGAAATAAGAATAAGGTCTGAATATCCTGATCGATAGAAGATCGTATACTCAAGTTATCTCAGTGAATTCAAGACGATAGAAGAAAACTAAATACATAGTAAATGAGTGTCCTTATACAGTTATCCGCCATCATAGCCATCATAGACATTCTCTGATATCTCGGTTCCTTGTATCATAGCAATCATAGCCATACTATGATTGACTATGATGACTATCCTCAATTAGTCCTAGTGCTTGCGTATTTCCGCGAGCCCATGATCTCTGTATGTATACCTCAATATTCATAGCGAGTCGGTTCTCGGATAATCCTTTGTTCCCACGCATTAGCGTTCCTTATCTATTGGCTGTGACGTTCTGATTCTCTGACAATCTCATATTAAATTTTAAAATAAGATTTTCTAATAAAATGTTGATATTTCCAGTCTAAAAAAATGGCCATTTTGTATGGGATTACAGGTGGGCGGACACGCTTGGGTGGGCGGCAGGGGTTGTGAGATACGTTATCTCAAAGGCTGGCGGATCCCTGCGCATTGAATCATTACCTGACAATTCAATCAAAGAATCTGCCAGCGATGAATCCTAAGCATAAATTGACCACTCATCCCAGGCCCTCCCTTTGAATAGATACTAAAAATAATAAAATAATATAACTAGACAATTAGATGATTAGTAATAAACTAACGCAATCTAATGTCATCTATTTAAGGGGTGGCCTTTCTAAAGCCAAAGCCTCATCCCGAATCGCTTCCAGAAACACATCCTTGTTCTGTACCAAGGAAAACCTTCTTTGACGATCCGTCATGTTGATGTAGAAGTCCTCATCCTGCCAATAGCAACTTAATTGCTCACTAAAGCTTTGCCAAACCAATAATTTATATAATGAACGCAAATTTTCCACATCGAAATTTGGGAAACTGTCATAGAGGTTATCCTGCCTGAGTAGCATCCTCACAGATTCAGGATCCGTATTGAAGATGTCCTTGGAAAGCACAAACACTATAGCTCGGAGAATATCCTCTGATAAAGCGGTCTGCGTGCCTAAAGCATCAATGGCGGACCGCCTTACAGAACTATCAGAATCCTCCAGTCGACACACTATA